GCTAAAAACCCCACTATCTTCTACTACTTAACCCATATCTTAAGAAAATATGTATTCCTACCTTTCCCAATGTATTTGTGCTAGAGATTTAACGGAATTCGAACACAGCTCACATATTCCTTGTTGAAAGCCACTATTAACCTATCTGCGCATAGTCCCCCTAAAAAAACAATCAGAGAAAGAAATTTTCGATTAGATTCTTCTTCTTATATGTGCCGTCTCCCTTCAGGACGTAGACGATCATGGTCCTCCACATCATCGATTTCCTTGTAGCTCGTATTAAAATTTTGTCTTTATGTTATTTTTCCCAAACCCGGTTTTGTCATTTATTTGCTTAAGACCATGAAGTATGTCACGCGTCACTTTCCTCTGATCCTCTTTCCATTTGTCTGTCCTATGAGGATCAAATGTTTTAAGCCCTTCTTCGTGTCCCAGAAATTTCAACTGCCTCTTCCTGGTGTTAAGTATAAGTTTCCTTTTTTGGTCCTATTTCCTCCAAAACCATGACGTTACTCACATGTTCGGTTCATGCTATCCTCAGCATCCTTCTGTAGAACCACATTTCCGCAGCTTCGAGTCTCTTATTCATCTTTGGCATTCGCTGCCGTACAAGAGGACAGATATCACGTAACAGTTCAGTACTCTTTTCTTTGTTTCCAACGAAATTTTCCTGTCTTGCAATATTCTGCTTAGCTTTTTGAATGTGTCTTTGGCCATCCCAATTCTTCTAGGAATCTCAGTGTCGCACTTTCCATCCTCTGTTAGAACACTTCCAACGTATTTCAATTTCCATACCGGCTTGATTTTAGTATCCACAACATGTAGTTTGCATTTTGGGGTTCATCTTTTGTTGATAGCCATGCATTTTGTCTTCTTTTAGTTCATACTCAGTCCTTTCTTCTCGCTTTCCTTCGCTACATTTTGTAGTTTCCTTTCCGTGTATGCTATCAGCACTTTGTGATCTGCATATCATATTGTTAAGATTGTGGCCGCCAATAATGAATCCTGGTAGGATTTCTACTTCTCTCGGCATTGCTTCGCTGTATTGGTTGAATAGGTCCGGTGAGACCAGACATCCTTGTCTTATACACCTTTTTATTTTTTGTATATCTGCTGAACTCATTTTCTGTACATATGTAGGCGGTTTGATGCCAGTATAGATTCTTGATTATTCTAATGTCTTTCTTGAATATGTCAAGCTGCTCCAACATATCTTTGTGGCGTACTTTGTCGAATTTCTTTGCGTAGTCTATAAAACATAGGTACACGTCCTTCTGCATTTGTATAGCTCTTTATGATAACATTCTGAGCATGGATATGCGCTTCTTGTTACGGCGTCTCGGAACCCACACTCTTTTTTCCTATATCTGACCTGCCTCTGCTGCACACTCTATTTATGAATTCAGATGATGAGTTGTATTTCAGTGGCTCATTAGGTATCAACCTATTTTGAGTTCACATTCGTTTGTGTCTGGTTTCTTAGGCAGTGCTGTAAAAATAGATCCGCTTAGGTCTTCCGGTATACCACCATTGTTGTAGATTTAATTTATTATTTCTGTCATCTTATCTATACCGAAATCGTCTAAGGCTGCTAGCATCTCTCCAACAATTCCGTCTGACCCTGCCGCTTTGTTTCTGTTCAATTCGGCCAGTGCAACGACTACTTCGGTTTTTAATATTTTAGGTTCGTCGCTATTTCTGTGCATTGCCGATTGTTCTCTTTCGTTGTGGAAGAGATCTCCAAAATATTCGTTCCAAAGCTGATGAATTTTTTCTTTCTCTAATACGAGCGTTCCGTCTTTAGATTTTATGCGACCTGTTAGTTCCCTTATTTTTTTATTCATATCTCCTTTATCTGTAATATTCATTCTTTCTGTTTCTGCGCATTTTTCGTTGAGCCGTTCTTCTTTAGTCTGCATGCATTTGTTCTTTATTTCTTTGTGTAGTTTTCTTTATTCCGTTCCATGTCTTGACATTGTTTTCTGTCTTCGAGAATGTCATTTGTGACCTATTCGTTTTTCCTTCTTCGTCCATTTTCATTTGGGTTTGTCTAGTTTGCTGATGTCACTAAAGTTTCTCTTAGTGGGTCCCACTTCGATTTTCCATTTCTCTGTTGTCCCTCGTATCTTTTCACACTGTCCATATATTTCTTCTTCAGGTTTGGGTCGTTCAGGTGTCTTATTGCAATTTTGGTGTTACTTAAAGCCTTTCCAGTTTTCGTAGTTTCATTCTTAGTTTACATATAACAGCGAGGTGATCACTTCAGAAAGAACAACTGAATTCTTGAATCTCTTGTTGATAGTTATGTAGTCGATTTGGTTTTTAGTTTCTCTTCCTGAGCTTTTCCATGTACATAATCATCTTGGATGTTCTTGGAAGCTAGTTTTGGATATTACCTACTCATTCTCTGTGCACCATTGGGCCTATTTTTCTCCGCGTTCGTTGCGTGCTCCTAGTCCGAATTTGCCAGCTATTTCCCCATCCCTCTCCTTGCCTACTTTGGCATTCAGGTTTTCCGTGTTAATTATATTTTCTTGTGATTTACACTGAGCCTTGGCGTTGTCTAGCATGGAGTAGAAAGATTCGATTTCTTTTTCCGTACTTCATACTGTCGATTCAAACACAATTATAATAGATATATTGAAAGGTCTTCCTTTCAGTTTAACTACAAGAATTATTTCAGATAACTGACAATATTTCAGGACGCATTTCTTGATGTATTGATCAAGTATCAATGTAACTCTTTTCAAATTTTCTCTCTGTCTGCATATATAATACTGTGGTTGTAATTGAAAAAATTCCTTTGTTTGGTCATCTAGTTTCACATACATCTAAAATATTGACATTTAATCTACTCATTACCTGTTTTACATTTTCCTACTGGCCACAGTTGCTTAACGTTCCATGTTCCGAGAGCTATTATTTGTTTGATGCGAACAGTCGCTGGATGATGGTCAAGTGACACCTTTTGCTCATGTCGTTCCTTACCGGGCGAGGATTTGCTATAGACTTAAACCCCTTCACGCAGCTAGCTCTCATATTTCGTTTGATAATTCCCATGATATTTCTTGTGATTACTAGTGGAGTGGTTTCCTGTAACTTCTCCGGGTGGTTTAATGAGAGGCCGCTTTTAGTTAACTGATCGCTGACTCATCATGAGTTTTTCCTGCCTTTGTTAGCGCTTATTTTTCATCCGTTTAGATTATGGATTTCAGAAGCCTGAACAAACTGGATGTCGACCTGTGACATCACTGAACCACAGTATCCATCCTCACGTTTCAAACGCTATGCAGTAAGCTATTTCCTTTGTTAGAATTCGTCGCTATTTGTCTGATACTGAAAGATTTCTCTAATCGACAACGGAATCGTTCTTTGATGATTAATACACAGTTTCAATTAATGGTGATGTATAGTATTAATTCAAGAAAAAATGCTTTTAATCACTAAATCATAATGATCTGGATTTATATGAAAGAAAATCTTTTTTAAATTATTGGAAAACTCAATAAAAATCTAAGAGCACACTTATTACAGTGGGATAGTTTTAGTATAGCTAGCTTGCCGATCCTAATTTTGCGTTCCGATTTAAAATAGATTTTACAAAGCTTATATGATTACTGTATATTGTCAGGATGTCTATAATTGGTTCTGTTTCGAACTCTGATAAATTTCTATAATTGATTTTACTGTAGGCTCCGATTCTGATAAATATCTATAATTGTTTCTATTTCAAATTTTGATTGTAATGAACTTCTATGACTGGTTCTATTTAAGATTCTGAATCTTAATTTATTTAATTAGCTCTATTTCAGATTCTGATTCTAATAAATTTCCATAATTTGTTCTATTTCACATTATAATAAATTCTGTAATTGCTTTCATATGAGATTCATATTCTAATAAATTTCAATGACTCGTTCTATTTCAGATTCCTATTCTAATAAATTTGCATAACTAATTCAATATCTATTCTAATGAATGCCTATAATTATTTCAGTTTCAGATTTTGATTCTAAATCTTTTCTATGCTTGGTTCTATTTCAGATTCTGATTCTAATATATATATAGATGAATGTTTCTCTTTTAGATTCTGATTGTAATAAATGTCTATATTTGGTTCTATTTTAGATTCTAATAAATTTCAGATTCGAATAAATAAGTTCCATATGAGATTCTGATTTAATAAATTTCAATGACAGGTTCTATTTCAGCTTTTGATTCTAATAAATTTCTATAATTTGTTCTATTAATGATTCTGATTCTAATAAATTTCTATAATTTGTTCTATTAATGATTCTGATTCTAATAAATTTCTATTATTGTTTCTATTTAACATTCTGATGCTGATAAAATTCTATTTTAGATTCTGACTCATAAATATCTATAATTAGTTCTATTTCAGATTCTGATGCTAATAAATTCCTATAATTGTTTTGTTTTTTACTTCAGATTCCCATTCTGATAAATTTCTATTATTGATTCTATATCAAATTCTGATTCTAATCAATTTCTACAAATGGTTCTATTTCAGATTCTGATTCTAATAAGTTTCTGTAATTGGTTATTTCAGATTCTGTTTTTAATACATTTCTATAACTGGTTCTGTTTAAAATTCTGACAAATTTCTATAATTGGTTTCGGATTTCTGAATGTCACCGAATTTGTGGATAGTGTTATATATTACGGATGAATTGAACTGAGTTCAGAAGGATTAGCTTTGTAATCATTTTTGCAAGCTGAGGCGATGCGAGATTTGCAGGACTGTATATGTCAAACAAATTTTCAGCTTGCTAAGAAAGAAAAGTTAGATAAACAAATAATAGTTTTATTGATTCATTAATTATATTAAAAATAAAAATAACAAACATGATTATGGACAACGATAATTATGTGATGTAATGAAATAGAATAAAAGTAAAGATAAGAATAAACAAATATTTGTTGCTTTTTAAGATGAATGATTCTAAATGTTTGTTCGTTTTGTAGAGACCCGGGTAGTTTTATTCAATTATAATATGAATTGGACGCATATTGTGGTTCAAACTTACCTCTAAAGATAACAAAAGCTGACGATTCTTCCGGTTGATTGAGTCTGCAAAATAAAATTCAAAGAAGTAAGGAAAATTATGAATAAAGTCAAAGAAGACGAAAAGAAATGAGAGGAAAAGAAAAAGAAGAGAAGAAAAAGGAGGGGAATCAGAAAAAGAGCAAATATAGAAGATGAAGAAAAAGAAAAGAAAAGAATTAAATGTAAGTAAAGTAAAAAAAAAGAAGTAAAAGAAAGAAAAAAGAAGGAAGGAAGAAAGAAAGAAATGAAGAAAAGAAAAAAGACGAAAGAAGAATGAAAAGAATAAGCAATAAGATAGATAGAAATAATGAAAAGGATGAAGAAAGCCGCGATAAAAAACGAAAAAATAATGAAGTATTGTAAGAAAGACTCGGAAGAAGAAGAAGAAGAAGAAGAAGAAGAAGAAGAAGAAGAAGACTCGGAAGAAGAAGAAGAAGAAGGGAAGAAGAAGAAGAAGAAGAGGAGGAGGAAGAAGAAGAAGAAGAAGAGGAAGAAGAAGAAGAAACGATAACAAAGAGAAAATAAGTAAAAGTAGAGAATAAAAAGAGAAGAAATATGAAGAAAGATGAGAAGAAATCACAGAAAAAATAGAAGAAGCGAAAGAAAATGGAGAGAAAAAGATTAGGGAATTGAAAGAAAGGAGAGACAGAAGAAAAGCGAAAGAAAAAGAAGAGATGCAAAAGAAAAAGAAAACGTAGTGAAAGAAAAAGGGAGTGAAAGAAAGAAGAGAATTAAACGAAAAGTGGATGTGAAAGAAAGGAGATAAGGGACAGAAAGTGAGAAAGAAGAGAAGCAAAAGAAAGAAGAGATGCGAAAGAAAGAAAAAATAGAAAAAGGAGAAGAGCAAAAGAAAGAAGAGAAACAAAAGAAAGAAGAAAGATAATAAAAGCGAAAGAAAGATGAAAGAAAAAAGTAGAGAAGGAAAAAATAGAAACGAAAGAAAAAGAAGCGAAAGAACATAAGAAAGAAAGAAAGAAAGAAAGAAAGAAAGAAGGAAAGAAGAGAAGAGAAGCAAAAGAAAGAGGGAGGCGAAAGGAAGAAGCGCCGAGAAAGAGAGGAGAAGTGAATAAGAAAGAAAAGGATAAAAAGACAAACAGCGAAAAAAGAAAATAAGAGAGGAAAAAAAATAAAAAATAAAAACAGAAGGAGCGGAAGGAAAGAAATACACTATTTTGGTCTTTGATATTTAAAATAAAATAAAAAAAAATAATTCATACCAAAGTAAAGAACGAAATATGTGATTGTTTCAAAGGAATTCAGAACGGAAGTAGACATGTATGTTTACAAAGAAGAGGGCGACCTTTGAAAATAAATAGTAGTTCAATAATAATGCGTAGTAGATAACAAAAACAAAAATCAAAAATGTCTTTGTTAATCGCTTAAAAGTCGTGATGCTACGAAATGTTATTTCACTGTTTATATTGGAGAGTAATGATTACCCATGACCAAAGGTATCACTTTTAAACATCTGAATTATTTAACATTATTTTTACTTAAACTTATTAAAATTGTTCGGTCTAAAACAGAAGAAAATAATAGCAGGCGCTATCTGAAATATACAAATACTCAATTGAAAGACTTGAACGGCCACATTAAAACACCTGAGATTTACAAGTTCCACAAATTTCTAAGTTGTCCAAATTTCGTAATTTATATTAAAATTCTACTAAACTGTCATTTTTTCCTACCTTCAGAAAGGTATGACTCCATTTCACCCCACTGCAATGCATTGAATATTAAGACTTTCTAGAAGAATCATTGTCGTTCTCAAAAAATAGTTAATAAAATAAAAATAAAAAATCTTACGACACAAAAAAGTATTTCAAATTTTACTAACCCGCAAATTGTTTATAATTCATAAACAAGAAATCAATCAATGAATTAATTGTTTAGACTTTATATATTTCTTCTATTTAGAACATAGTAATCCGGTGTTGTCCAAAATTCTTAATTACATTTCCTTTATTAATGTCTGATATGCATTTCTTCATTTTAATTTTGTTTCTTGTTTATACTTAGTATAAAATGAGGGAAGAGTAATAGTTACCGGCACGGAAAATGAAATCGGTCAGCCAGGATCACATTCTCACTTAGTCCTTTGCGTTCCTTTCGCAATAATTAACTTAGGAAAATGCTAAAACTATCTCTTCTTTCTCCAGCTACATGTCGGGTGAAACTGAACTCTCTATCCTTGATTGGCACTCATAGAAAAGGCAACGGGAAACTGCATCATTATCCTTCCCGAGCTTTCATGGTAACCCATAGATGTTACAGATAAAGAAGTTGAGGACAGTTATTATCTTTTACAGCCTTGAAGGAAAGTGGCGTTAAAATATCTTGCACCTAGTACTAATAATATACCTAATAGTTGTAAGTTGTAAGTATTTTCATTATTAATATTTAAGATTTACTTAATTTTATTTTCATTTCTTTCTTTCTAACTCACCGTATATTTTGCTTACATTCTACGACTGTTAAACGCATGGAGAGAAAATAAAGAATTAGTTTCCAACGAAACCTGAACACGCACCATGTATTCATCAGTGTCCGGTACATTCATTTTAATAAACACACGTATAATGTAAAACTGCTTGGGCTTGCGGCACACATACACACACACACACACACACACACACACACACACACACACACACACACACACACACACATATATATATATATATATATATATATATACTAGTAGCATTACCCGGCGTTGCCTGGGTTTATTCAAAAAAAGATCACAAACCTCATTCAATCTGTAAAGATAAAATAAAGAAGATTTTTCTTTAGTGCCTCTATATGGCGAAAAATTATAATGACATGAAGTATGAAAACATTTATAACAGGAGAAAGTTGTTTTGTACAGAAGCACAGAAGATACAAAAAATTGTCAGCAAATGAAGAGTACATTAATCGCAATCGATCTTTGAAAACTGTTGAGGAGAAATGCTTTGTTGACAGCTTTTGCTCAAACTACATCGAATGAACAACATGCATTAGAAGGAGAAGAAATTCAACAAAGACTTCTCCTAGCAGCCGTGCCAAGGCTGAAAACCAACGTTCACAAAGACTGTATAGAATTGTTCTTTGCCCCTCAGTTTCGACAGCTCGAGTATCAGGAGTTCTGGCAGCGTTCCTTCCTCGTCTAGTTAACCGTTGCTCATTAGTTTCTGCTGACCTTGCATTAGCTGTATGAATAACATTTTGTGTCAGTCAAATTTGAGTTTCTTGTTGCGAAGCTTTTCTTCTCCGTGCTTTCATGCGTTTGGCTGTAGTAGTAACACGTCTAAGTGAAGGATTTCGCTTTCTTGGCATTACTGTCAGGCTGTAGTTGGAGGGGTTTGGCTAAGGTTTTTGAATAAAAACGAAGTAATCAATTAAAAAGCAAGAATAGCCACAATAAATTAAATACAAGTTTATTAGGGAGACGACGGGAACGTGGTAAACAATTATAAGCAAGCTTGTAAAGTTAGGATTTATCTACAAATAGACTACCAAAAAACCTTCTAGTGATAAAAATAAAAATTAAGGTACAGCTAGAAACCTACTCACTATATACGTTAAAACATACAGGCTAAGTTTAGCATAATTATAAATGAATCGAAGGAGGGTCTTTACATTATTATAAGTGCATTTTTCAGAATAAAACTGTCAAACTTTTAGGGCTCAAGTTTCCAAATATATGAGTTAGTAAGTATTATTTAAACGCTGATTAGAAGATGATAAATACATAATTAAAAATTGGCATTTAAGCTCAAACTTTTTAATAATATGATTTTCACAAATTTAAATTTAAAGTATCAAAAATTCAAAATATACATGCATGAAGGTAGCCTACCTATGTACTGAATGACAACTTTGATGCGAATGAGATTTTTTGCATTTATTTCATCGCATAGCACTAATGAATACTGCACATGAAGCAAAATCGATAGTACGCACTACATAACTTGATCGATCATTGCACGTAGAGCAAAATCAATTGTACACACTACACATCTCGATCGATCTCGAACACGCGTCTTATACCTACGTACACTTCTCTCATCGGTGCACACTTTCGTTTGCACGTATTCTTTTTTCTTAAGGATTTAATTTTTGCCGTCAAGTTAATGCAAACTAAACTATTTCAGTACCAAAACGGGAATTCCATGGGAAAAACTGATATTTTTCATAATGTATTTATGACACATAAGGTGTCAGGTTTGATTTTGAGTTGATTGATCTAAACACAAATTATGTGCAAATTTTCATCGGAATGCTGCTAACCACTACAATTGAAAGACTAATGGGGCAGTAAGGTGTTCATGGGTCATCTTCGCGGCCCCTTATGTAGTTTTCAAAATCTGATTATCGTTCTTGATTCATTTTAAGATTGTAACATACGTGTAAAATTTCGTCGAAATTGAAGCGATTTGAAAGTTTGGGGGTCCCTTTTGTTCAACCTAGGGGTCTCAAATTTCAAGACAAAGGACAGGTTTAAGACTAATAGTAATTGAAATAATAAAGCACATCTTTTTAAAGTTTTCTATTTAATCGACTTTATGGCCAAGGCTGTAGACTTAATTGAAAATTTCGGGGTTCCCTGCTGGTCCCCTAACTCGTGGGGGTCCCAGTGTTGATTTTCAGTGAATTCCAAGTGACTAATTCAGTTACACGATATAATCTCAATGTGTACTGAAATGTTTGTTGAAATTGAAGAATACTGCTACAAAATACACTTGAAAAGCAATTGAGTCATCAAGGGAATTATAGGGTCATCCTGGGGGACCCTTCATGCATTTGTAAAAATCTGACAACCGATTTCTCTCTCATTGTAAGAGCGGAACAAGCATGCAAAATTTCATCAAAATCGAAGCAATTTGAATTTTTTTTTTGTCCCTTTGGGGCACCCTGGGGGTCACAGTGTCAAGAGAAACGAAAATCAATATAGCGTATAATAAGTGTGACAGTAAGTTGCATACACTTATCAAGTTTCATTAAAATTGGCCTTAGGGTTTAGACTTCAAGTCTGAAAGTTTAAAAACAACCAAACTATTGGAAATTCCCATTCAAAAATTATATTTATCGATTATCGGTTATTGATTTTTGAAAAATGACTAATTTTTTTTGCCGGGACACACTCAGTATCGAGTACAATCTCTGTTCCAAATTTTGTGGAAATATGCCTTATGTTTCTCGAGTAGTTCGCGAACACACACACATAGTCAGTTTTATATATATAGAAGATATATGAAAAAAAAAAAACCCATAGTTTTGGTAACAGTTCTCAATATCCAGTACTCAACGTTGCTTAACTTCGGTGATCGTACGGGAACAGGCGTTTCAAATTGATGTATGCGGAAGTTAAAGAAAGAAAAGAGAAAATTAAATGAAAAGAAAGACTTAATAATAACTATAGAAATGTAAGAATAACTGTTGATGAAGAAAGACATAAATGAAAATAAAGATAACTATAGAAGCTATTCACTCGAAAACCAAAATTATTACTATTTAAAGAATATAAATGGTAACAGTAAGGGTTATAGGCATTTCCTTCTAAGAAAGTATTCACCATTCATTGACTGAACAATCATTAAAATCTTTGTTTAAAACATTTTTCAATAAAATAGCTAATCCAAGTCCAGTAATTGTTAACGCTCTTTCCAGTCTTGATGGAGGCTTCCTTCCGAACATTTTGTTTGAAATAGTGTGTAACGTCAACATTATGATTCTATCATTATTTTTTTCTTCGATTTACATATCATATCCATATAAGTTGTTGCTGATGTCGAAAGACCTCATCTGTGGTTTCTGTTATTTGGTACAGATTTTGTATTTGATTTTGTAGCGCCATTTCACGAACTCCGAAGAAGAATGATCCTCGCTAATGCTTATAGGTTTCATTTCACTGGAAGACATTTTTAATCATCAATTTGAAAAAGCGGTTTTATACTACTAGCAGTTTAGATATTTCTTAACGAGTTTGGGGCCATACACGACATCCATACGAAAATTTCGATTTGATAAGCTTACTTAATTACATGACTAGAGGTTTTAGGTTAATGTTTTGGTTTTGTATCAAATTTGCTGATGTTGGGCGAAATCACTTCAAGAAGTAGAGAAATACGCGACTAATTATTCTTAGATGAAGATCATACAGAAAGACGTTCAAAAGAGGAAGAATAAAAAAACAATTACGTTATCTATATACTATTTAAAAGGTTCACAGTATGATCCCTTGTATATTGAAAAGTTTAATTACGTCTTAATGTTCAAAATTATGGTGAAATTCTTTGCAATATGAAACTGGAGGTTAAAATTAACAGCTGATGTATAATCCTGGAGGTCAATGTAAGTTGGAGGTGTTGCTCCAACTCTTTCCTACTAAGCAAAGAAAACTACGCTGGGTTTTACTCCTAACTGCTTTCACTTAATAGCGCGCCGATGTAAGCTATTCTGTGGTAATTTTCAATTTTATTCATATTTTGATATGTATTTGCATTATTTTTAGCAATTAGTACAGTTTTAACTTCCCTTTGTGCTGTTATAATATCTTGGAGTTTTTAAGTAGTTTCAATAATCTTATTTTTCGACACTAGAAGTAAAACTATTTTTATCAATGATACAAAAGGCAAAACCATTCAAACACACCGTTTACTTGATTGTTATTTCTGGGCGCATTCGGCTAATTTATTAGCCATTTTCAAGGGTGTGTAAGTGCTATTGATAACAGTATAATGGTTGCTGAGAGGTAGACATGCTTAAACCTAAAATACGGCCAGTACACTGAGCCGATGTTTCATAGTTCCTGTTGTTAAGTGTTCATTTTTTGTTTTTTGTCAGGGCTTTTTTTTAGACGCTTTTTGTAGTTTCCGTTGTGGATCATGCACGCACACACGCACACATATAATAGGACATTGAGGGCAAAGCAGAGTGTCGACAGTCTGTTTTGAAATTCTACCCAGTCTTCTTATAGCGTGATAATTGCACTCAAGCATGAAACAGATTGTCACCATTTGGGGTTGAACCTATTGTTCATGCTTATATATACAAACGCTCTATCCTGGATATTGAGAACTTTTACCAAAACTATACTTTTTCTCATATATATATATATATATATATATATATATATATATATATGAAAAATACCTAGAGTGGAGACCGTTTGGGAATGTCAAGTAAAATTAAGGGATAACGGCGCGGAATGAGAAATCGGAGAGCCGTGTTCCAATTCCAGTCGTGTTTATTATATTTACTTTGGGAAAGGTATGACTCCACCTCTTCTCCTTCTAATTAAGGGTTAATTATTTATGCTTGTATCAGTAAATCATTACAATACCCCCATAACTCTTAGAATCTTAAAAAAATACTTTTCTGGCTTTAAATAAGTAGCAAAATGTTGAAAAACTGTAAAAACAAATCCATCAAAAAAAAAAATCATTCTTTTCTTTTTTTCTTATTTTCCTGATTTCCTTATTTCCTCGATGTTGTATCTTTTTTCTATAGTTATTATTTATATATTTCATATTTTAATTCATTTTTTTCTTTCTCTCATTCTTTGAGATCGTACGCGAGATTTGCTATTGTGTTTATTTATAGTAATTATTTTAATTTATTTCTTTCTTTTTCAACATATAATCATGAATCTGTCCTCTACTGATTTTTCAACATTGATTCATTTCTTTGTTCCTTTGTTTGTTTGTTTCTTTTTTTCTTTTTTTTTGTTTGTTTGTTTGTTTGTTTGTTTTTCAACATATAATCATAAATCTCGGGGCACCTCAAGGCGGTGTAATGGCTAGCAAGCTTGGTTCGATTGAACAATTACAACTGAGTAGTGAATTCGATCTTCACCGGGTGCCCCTTAATTTCGGCCTTGTGCCACATCTAAGCTACGCTTGGAAAATCACTATAATCATAAATCTATCCTCTACTGATTTTTCAACATTGATTCATTTCTTTTTTTTTCTTTCTTTTTTTCGTTGTTTCTTTTTTCTTTGTTTCTTTTTTCTTTCTTTTGTTGTTTCTTTTTTCTTTGTTTGTTTCTTTCTTTTTCAACATATAATCATGACTCTGTCCTCTACTGATTTTTCAACATTGATTCATTTCTTTTTTTTTCTTTCTTTCTTTTTTTCGTTGTTTCTTTTTTCTTTGTTTCTTTTTTCTTTTTTCTTTCTTTTGTTGTTTCTTTTTTCTTTGTTTGTTTCTTTCTTTTTCAACATATAATCATGACTCTGTCTTCTACTGATTTTTCAACATTGATTCATTTCTTTTTTTTCTTTCTTTCTTTTTTTCGTTGTTTCTTTTTTCTTTGTTTCTTTTTTCTTTTTTCTTTCTTTTGTTGTTTCTTTTTTCTTTGTTTGTTTCTTTCTTTTTCAACATATAATCATGACTCTGTCCTCTACTGATTTTTCAACATTGATTCATTTCTTTGTTTCTTTCTTTTTCTTTTTTTTTTTTTTTTCTTTGTTTCGTTGTTTCTTTTTTCTTTGTTTGTTTCTTTCTTTTTCAACATATAATCATGACTCTGTCCTCTACTGATTTTTCAACATTGATTCATTTCTTTGTTTCTTTCTTTTCTTTGTTTCTTTTTTTCTTTGTTTCGTTGTTTCTTTTTTCTTTGTTTCTTTTTTCTTTTTCAACATATAATCATGACTCTGTCCTCTACTGATTTTTCAACATTGATTCATTTCTTTGTTTCTTTTTTTCTTTGTTTCTTTTTTTCTTTGTTTCGTTGTTTCTTTTTTCTTTGTTTCTTTTTTCTTTTTCAACATATAATCATGCCTCTGTCCTCTCCTGATTCATTTTCTTTCTTTCTATTAAATTTTATTCTGAATTCCTACTCTTATCTTTTTTATTTTGTCCTTTCGCTATAAACTTGCAATCCTTCGTTTTGTTTTCTTTCTGATTTCATTTTTCTTCATCGGTATTTAATCCATCGTTTTTTATTGTTTTTCCTCAAAGTTCTTTTCGAAATTTCTTGTTTTTTTTTTTTTTTTCAACATCTTTTTTCTACTCCCTTATTTTCGAGGTCTCTATCAAAATTCTCATTAGTTATTTGGGTCTTAGCAACATGAAGAAAAATTGTGCCCGAACATTAGAATCTTTGTGTTCAGTATTTTCATTGGCATCATGTAATCAGGTAGCATGGGGGGCGGAGAAGTCTTTAAAATTTAATGCCATTTGGTTATTGGAATCTCTGTGCTTTGACATTTGCAGAAATGTGCCATAAGGCATAAATAGAAAAATAATAAAAAAAAAAACATTTTTCAAAAATGAAGTAAAAGAAAGATGTCGGGTCATGTTGTAATAAGAGAATGAACGCAAAAGTCACACACAAATATATGTAAACACACAACGACATCCATATGTAATCACACTAAGGTACACAAATGCAAATACATGCGCATGCGCATACCCGCATATTTTAACAGAAATAAAGACAAGATTAAGCATTTATTAATACGGATATTTCATTGGGTAATTTCGATGAATAAAGATGCTTAACTAAACAGGGTTTATTTGTGTCAGAAAATTTATAATTTAATTTTATACATCCAATTATCCGATGCATTACCCTTAATAATATAATACATTAGTGGCCACAATAAAATCCTGTATTGATTTGAAAAATAGAAATCCGCTATTAATTATTATAATTTATATGCATAAAAACGCTTAAAAAAAGATTTTATTTATGTAAGAAATTTTAAAACGTTATTTCATACATCTAATTACTAACTTATTTCTCTTGACAACATTAGGGACCAAATTAAAATCGGTATTAATTTTAAAAATTAAAATAAAAAAACTATATTGAATTATGATTTTCTGTAGAAATTCACTATTATTTTAAAATAATTTTAAAAATTCAGTATTAATTGAGGTTTATGAAAATAATGAAATCTCATACTTAAAATCAAGAAAAGAAAGTTGAACTTTTTAGGCCACATAATAAGGAAAGAGTGTGTGATAATTATGATACTCACAAGACGGACTGATAGCAAGAGAGACAGAAGGGAAGAACGCATTAAATATATAGTGAGCTTCATTGAGTAAATGCACAACGGAACAGAGATCAGGGGAAATAAAAAACAAAAAAACAAAAACAAAAAAAAACAGATTATTAAGAGCTACAAAGGTTAGGAATTTGTGGAGAGCCATGATCGATTACCTACTGAGTAGACACGGTACATAGAAGAACCTATTATTATGTACTGTCTCATCTTTTGGAAGGAGGCCCTTAATGTGTTAAATGGCAACAAACGATATGAATATATTCCCCCAAACGAAAGTCTGAATATGACAGTGAGATATGAACGTATATCAGACACAAAATAGAATAGAAATAGGTAAATTATTATGACTTAATGATGAAACGAATTTATTTTATATGAGAAATATTTAGTTTTGAACATGACTGCGTTCCGACAATTAAATTTATATATTAATC